AGCAGGGATTTCTCCATTGGGCAGGGAATTATGGGTCTCAGGTGCCAGACATGTGGTCTAGAAGAGAGGTGGCTCAAATTCTGGCTGAGCACATCTCCACAGTCCCACAGACTTCTTGCCCCATGGAGAGAATAAGTCAGTGGAGAGCAGGTAGGCCCCTCTAAAGCTCAGTGCCTACTGCAGGTGCACTCATTACCCGAGTCTAAGGGCAAGACTAGGTTGTAAGCTACTCGAAAGGTACCTTAGCTTTGTAGATCTAGCAACTTCTGTGGGTCAGGAAGAGGTAGTGTCCTATATGAAGACTAAACAAATGAATTCATGCACCTCAGTTTTCTGAGACAATGCTACCTGTCCAGTTCACTTTCCATGGCAGATGTGAGAGAAAGGAAATAATTGATGTCATGTGCTTTGAAAGGAGTTACCTTTTATGAAGACTGTTTCTAACAGCTTCTCAAACTGGTGAATGACTTGTTTTTGTTGCCCTCCCAGAGCCAGAAATAGCAAAATGTCTTACCAAGTCAAATAGAATGGAGTTCAGATTCATATATACTGAGCTCTTAGCACAGAACCATAAGAGCTGGGTTATGATTATGAACAATAACGCAAATAGAATCATCAGTATTTTTAATTCCCATAATTTATAGGCTTCCTTTTCCCTTTAAAAATAATGTTAGGAAATCTAAAATAAGGAATCTCAAACAGGAAGAATACAAGCCCACCAACTGGTAACAGAGCATTTGCTATTATTAAGACACTCAGGTTTATGCAAGACAACAATTTTAATGCAGCTGTTTCAGGTTGGCCCCCATTTTGAGTGTGAGTATAGCAAATTTTTTTCTTTCTGGGAGTTTACTTATATGGGAAAGATTACCGTCTGAGGAGTTAAGTGACCCTGGTAAAGAAAAACCAACTAGGATTTAGTGAACATAGGTTCTACTCCTGACTGAGTTGTCTTCATTCATTCATTTTTCATTTACTATTCATCCAGTGTAGAGCAGTTGTGGAGCATCTATCCTGTTGTAGAGGTTGTAGGAGATGCTGGGGATTACAAAAAGAAATGAGATGTGAGATCTGTTCCCAAGGAACATGCATTCTGGTAAGAAAGACAAAAGTAAGCCATACAACATGAAAATGCCACAATAATAAATACAAGCATAAATCCTGATGTAGAGATAGGCACCTACTCCACTCTTATTAAACCCTGAGGATTCCAGAACTTCCAGCATTACAAAGTTGATGATAAAAGAGAAATTAATCCATCAAATTTATTTCTATTATGCTCTATGTGTGCTCAATTTTCAGTTGTATTTTATATTTCTCATTCAATTTTGTCAACAGATTGATTGAGTAGCTACCATATAACGAGATGAAGCTGACCGTGGCTTATTCAGCCTCAATATCAGCAAGGCTGACACTGTCCCAAGGGACAGTGTGTTTAATTCATTCCACTTACCACTTAGATTAGTGCCACTCAGACGCTCTTCCTAAGTGTTATTTGATAAATCAAGATGTCTTCATTTAGATCGGAACTGTGTATCTAAGCTCCTTATTACATAATCAAAACCTTTGAACATCACAAGCAGTGACAAAAGATAGTTAACAGAAGCTGGGCTCACACTCACTTTTACTCCCACCCCGTGCTAACATTAGTGACAATGATTTGCAAACATGGGCTGGGGGAAAAATAATGTCTCATTGATTTCTTAAGACAAGATTAAAAATAACTTTTGCCGGTGAATCAAATTGGAAAATTAAAACCAAGAAAAAGTGAGAAGCAGTGAGAGGCATAATCAACAATTTCCCCAATTTTATGATGATGCAGTGCCAAGAAAACTGTAGCCAAAGGACATAAGAATTAAAAAAAAAAAAGCCTTTAAAAAATTATTGACTCTGACACCTTGGCCCTTGACACTTAACACCTAAAATGATCATGAACCATGCTGTGCCCTTTATCACATTGTACATGTAATATTTTCTGAGTTCCTGGTGCAAGCTTATATTTGGTTAACATCAGTCATGCATTCACTTCCCTCCAGCCAGCGGGAGTGCATGCACCAGCTGTTTACACATCTTCAGGAGGAGGAAGGGGAGTGGCCAGCTCGCTCTGCACACTGTCTCATGTCAGAAAAGTTTCCAAGTCACTGAGGGATGTGTGAGACCACAGAGTTGAAGGAAAGTTTGGTCTTTAGTATTTCCTTTTCTGTCTTCTTACGTTAAAAGTACTAAACACAGGCTCAACCAGGCTCGCATTTCATGAGGTGACTGTACCGCCTGCGTCCTGATGATCAGAACTATGTAGCAGTCCATTGTGAAACCAGGAATGATTCCAAAACCTCTGGTAACCTCCCAAGCTGTCTAGGATATGACTTAATATGCAGCCATCCTTGGAACTTTGTTTAGGCAGCTGAAAAGATTTCCCCAGGAGAACAGAAGGGAGAGGGAGAAAACCTGCTGATGGTAAAGAGAAACTGAGGGTGTAAAATAAAAATTATGTGATAGTGTATGTAGGGTAACCCTTCACATTGACTTACGGGAGGACCCTGACCATCAGAGTATTCTCCGTATGACTCTAGTTCAGGCGCCACTTCATTGCCTGGCTACTGAGAGACAGCACAATTGTAAAGACAGTGCTTAACTTGTTTAGATGACAGAGACAGATTGTGTGATTTAAAGCTCTTTAGTTTGAGTTGTAGTTTTTAAAGTCACTTTGAAAAAAAAAATCGAGATATGTATTATCGATCAAATAATAGAGATATAGGAAGTAGGACCTGAAAGCTACACCCACTGGAGAGTTGAAGACCAGTTCGCCCAGACTTCACTCAGGGAACCTTAACCACATAGAAGACCCTGCGCAAGGATCTGCAAACACGATTATAATGAATCTTTTGCTTAAGGAGTTTTACAAGCAAGTGCTAACTTATACTAGACATTCACTTTACAAAAGGCACTCTTCAAATATTAGCTCATGTGATCCTGCGCTGCACTATAAAGTAGACAGGGCACATAGAGACATAGACTCTTCCAGTTTAAGCAATGTTTCCCAAGGCTGTGAGGATAAAATGTAGGGGAGCCAGGTTTGCCTTCAGAGGCTAGGTCTTGGGTTCTTCTGTTAACAGTGAGATACTGAATAGTGTATACCTAGGAAGAGAGAAAGAAAATGTATAACCACTGAGCAAATCATAACTTGGGATGTGATATCCTAGGAATGTAGTCTCCTATTTTGTTTCCTTTTTTAAAAATCCATCCAAAAACATATGTATGGCAATTCTGTGAATAGTTGATTACTTGCCCCAAATGCTGGCCAACTAGAAATGAATACCACCTACATCCATTATTTCATCATCATAGTTTTATTAAGAAGGGAAGATTTCTTCAAATGTGGCTATGTGCTTAATCTTGCTCTAAGAATTAAAATGATTGGATATTCATGAACTTCTGAAGTTTATTTTATTTTTTATTATAAAAAAAGGACCATAATTGTGAATTTTCAGGAACACGTTCCTGTTGAAGGCAATGGAAACCTAAAGGAAAGACACATACAGGAGCGCGCGCGCGCACACACACACACACGCACACACGCACGCACGCACACACACACACACACACACACACACACACACACACACACACACGCCCATAATGTCTTACTAACATCCTGCAACATTCTTCCACCAACTATGCACTAAAGATGCAAACTACCAAATGGCAGTGGCTAAATCATAGTTCTCTGGTTGTTTTCCAGTTGGTATGCCTGTACTCACAACCTTTATAGCAATAAATAAGCCTTCTGTTTCTTTTTCAAAAATTTTATAGGGCGCTCTCATGTCCTTTTCTTTCCCTAGCCTCCCCCCACACACACACACACACAATTCAGCTCACTCAGAAAATGCTATAAAGTTTCAGAGGAGAGGGTTGCTCAAAGCAACTACAAATAAAGTGCGTGTACATAAATAACTTAGCCTGACTTTTTGTTTAATGTCCAAGATGATTGGAACAGATTGTATCATGAACTACTTTCCCTTTGGCTAATTAAATAGCAGTCCCCACTTACCATAAAGCATATTCTTATTAAAACAAGTATCTATAGTCACGCTGCTGGATAAATTACTCCCAAGTAAGTGCCATAAAGCCCATTACATTCCTGCTTTAGGAATGGAGCAGGTCCAAACAGACAATCAAAGGATTTCACTGGGATTATTTTAGATTAGAAAAACTAAGGGAGACAAGCAACACTGACAAGATCGTAAAGGCATAAAGGATAAATTAGCGGTTCCATCCCAAACAAAGTGCTCTAGTGGTATCACCGTATATCCAAATGTAAAAACAAATTCCTACTGTATTAACCTTTGCCAAAATGGAAATCTGTTTATGCAGAAATAAAAATGTCATGAGCAACTGTTATCTCCTGTGCAAATCAAAATGACTGTTTTGAATAATAATAAAAAGAAAACCTTTCAAACCAACAACTATGGAAATATGCCATGGGGAAGATGTCTTCATTTCAATAAATTGCTTTTTACATTTAATAGAAAAGGTTATGTTATGATTTGTCATATTAATGAACCATTATTGCATAACCATATTTTTATTGCAATATATTACCTGCTAAATCATGTCTTTTTTTTTTTTTTAAGGAGAAGAAATTTCATAGAACAGATTCTATGGGAGTTTTTCTTGCTGCCAGTTGTTAAATCTTTCAAAAGCTGTCAGCAGCCTCAGAAATCAAGTTCAAAATACCATAGCCAACATGAGTATAGGCATAGGCTAGTCTATTTTTAAATTGTAATACAAAACTGCTAGAAAAATACCTAAACACACACACACAAAATATTTAAAAGGAGATCATCTTATCTAGCTTGTCAATGTAAAGGACAAAATCAGTGAAGTGAAATTTAACTCACAACTTCTATAAATATCACTAGACATTTGAGAGCTAAGGGATTTTTTTTCAGGCTAATTTTTCCTTCAACTCATTATGCTCCAGCGCCTTCATGCAGTCATCCCTCACAGACCCTGTCCATGATAGCCGTAGGGAGTAGGGGACACTCAAGGCAGTCAACTGGCTCAGTTCCCTACCTGGCTTCAGTCAAGCAAGCCCTTCTCCTCAGGGGTGAAAGGATGGCAAAAACATTGGAATCTGCCCTGGAAACTTCTGCAGGAAAGGAGCCATACTTGTTTCTACAAATGGCATTCTAGATTTGCCTGTGTCTGCAAGCACTGACTCAACATACTGCTTCTGAATGACAAGACTGTGCCCTCAGCGTTGCAATCAGAGCAGCACCAGCTGGGATCCCCTCAAAATATTCCAAGCTTATGACAGTGAGCTAGCTATCTGATGGAAACAGAGGTGGGACATTTGGGTGTATCTTCCTGCTTAAGCTGCTGCTGCTGTCATATTTTTGGATAGAAAGAATTGAAGAAACGAAGGTAGGTGCTGTCATTTCTTAAGGTACTGCCTGCCTTTGCTGTCAGTTCATGGGTGTGCTCACCTTTGGCTGCTACTGATAGATGTTATAGTCCATCATTCATTCCACACATTATGTATGTATATATATATATATATATATATATATATATATATATATATATATACAGTATATTTTTGAGCATAATATATGGCAGCAGTCCATTACATTCTGGAGACCAAAGTGAACAAGACAGGTGAAGTTTTTACTCTCAAGCAACATTAAGTATAGTAAAGGAGACAAGTATTTAATAAGTAATCTAAGAGATTGGATATTTGGAATCTGTAAAAATGTAGATTGTGAAAATTCCTACCAAATGTTTCCTTTTTAAAAAATAATAACAATATTTACAAATATATGCATGTTGCAAAATACCTAGACAATATGATACTGTGACAATTCCCCTTTTTGCCCCCCAACCTACACCCTTCCTATAAGTAAATACTGCATTTATATTTAAAAATAACATAGACAAGCACCTATATCCATATTTATGTATACACACGCAGGTTTACTTTTTTTTCATAAACATGAGATTATACCATAAATATTATGCAATTCTAATTTTTACCTTAGAACATTTCCATGTAAATATACAGACACACCATTTATTGCAATGATTAAATTCCCATGTATGGAGATAAAATAATTTATAGAACTATTGCCCTTTCCATGAGTATATTGGTTTTCTGTGGTCACTATAACAAATTAACACAAATTAAAACAAGCGAGGTGGCTTAAAACACCAAAAACTTATTCTTTCACAGTTCTGGAGAAGCCTAAAACCAGTATCACTGGGCTGAAAATAAAGCTGTCAGCAGGCCCACACTCCCTCTGGAAGCACAAGGGGAGAATCCATTCCTTGCCTTCTCCAGGTTTTGATAGCTGCCAGCATTCCCTGAGTTCTGGCTGCATCATTCCAGTTTTCAAGGACAGCATCTTCAAATCTCTCTCTGCTCCATCTTCATGTGGCTATCTCTTTTGCATGTTCAAATCTTCTTTAGCCTCCTTCTGCTAAGGATACTTATGACTGCATTTAGGGCCCATCTGGATAATCTGATATCATCTCTCCATCTCAAGATCCTTAACTTAAATTACATCTCAATCTATAAGTTATAAATTGAATTTATAACTAAATTATAGTCCTCTTTTTTGTCATAGAAAGTAACAGTCACAAGTTCCAGACATTAGAACTTGATAATTTGGGGGACCATTGTTCAGCCTCCTAACGGTGGCTATTTAGGTTGTTTCTGTTTTTTATTAATATAAACAATGTAGCAATTATGATCACTGAAATTTATGTTTGTGTGCATGTATAAAGCCTTTGGTATTCCTAAAAGTGAGATTCCTGAAAGTGATATTCCTAAAAGTGAAATTTCTGAATCACAGAGTACAGGTAACAAAATATTGTTGAATAATGCCAAATGTTCTCCAAAAATTGTACCACATCACTGTATACTTTCCAAAATACTTCTTGGAGTGCTCATTTTTCCACATTTTTGTCAATATTACATATTTTGTCCTTCTTCTTATCAATTTACAAAGTGAAAACTGGCAACTTGTCATTGTTGATTTGAATTTTCTTCACTATTAACAGGTTTAAAAACTTTTATTTGTATAGTTTCTCATTCTTAGTTTATTTTTTACTTTTCTTCTTGATTTGTAGGGATTATTTATAAATTTATATTGATATTTAATATTCTATTCTTATATGTGCTACAGATATTTTCTACCAATCTATTACTTGTTTCTTTATAAATTTGTTGAAAAAATGTAATTAATGTAAAATCTACCAATATTTTCCTTTGCATATTTTCAGTTTTATATCTTGTTTAGAAACACTTTGTTCATGCTAAAAACATAAAAATATTCTCTTATATTATTAGTGCTCTTCTCAGTGGAAAGCCAATAATGTCATTGACATTTTAAAAATAATATATTTGCTTTTCCACTAATTTGAAATACTATATTATATATTAGGTAGTCAGATACACCCAGATTTGTTTTCGAGCTGTATATCATTGATCCATTTTTGCTATTTGTGAAAGTTCTGAGGGTGAAGATTTTGTCTTTCACCATTCTGTACCTCATTGGCATACAGGGTACAATACCAATATATAGATAGATAGAAATATAGATAGATAGATAGAGATATAGAGAGATATATATTGATATAGATATAGATATATAAATATAGATATAGATATAGATGATATATATAGAGAGATATAGATTCCTGTTAAAGTGCCTGATAAAACATAGTACTTCCAGTTATATTTGAATTTCAAATAAACAATGAATATTTTTAAAATATAACTATGTACCAAATATTGCATGAGGCATATTTATACCAAAAAATTATTCGTTGTTTATCTGAAAAACAAATTTAACTGGTGTCCTATTGTTTTTTTTGCTAAATCTAGCAACCCTTCAGTCAGTATATAGTGAATGAATGAATGAATGAACACCCTATCATAATTTTATAATTAGTTTTGTTATTATATTTTGCAAATATATTTATTACCAAGTAGGAACAATTTTTCTTATTGTTCTTTAGTAAAAGTTTTTTTTTTATTATTTTTAAGAAATCTTCCTGCATAAATTTCAGTCATTTATATTACCGAGTATGTTTATTGGGATTGCATTGAATTTATCAATGGTTTTTATTTTACTTTATATATTTCTTAATTCTTAATATTCATCTGTGTTGGAAAATGAGATTATCAATTAATTAGTTAGTCAATTAATTAATTAGTTAATTAATAACTCTTTCCAATAACGCCTTCTTAATGGTTAAATACTAACAACAGTATCATTGAATAAAGAACTAAACAAAAATGCAAACAATCACCACTAGAAATTCTAGCTTCTCTAAAAAAACAGGAAAAGAATGAAAGACATAAATATTATGATGGGGAAATTATTTGCCTATAATAGCATTTCTTACCTATAAGTTTCTTCTTAGAAAACCCATAAAAATCAATAAAACATATTCAAATTAATATGAACTAGTTTAGTAACTGGATCATTTACCAAATAAATTTAAAAATACAAAAGTAAACTTTATATATTTTAATAAAAGCAGTTACAAATTATGGTGAAATAAATATCTAATTCTTAATATGAAACAGAAAATATAAAATATCTGAAATAATGTAACAGAATGTATGCAGAGTTTATAGTAAAAAAATATAAAATTTTACTAAGATATATGAGAAGCTTGAATACATGTAGTGATTTTCATATTTCTGGATAAGAAGTTTTAATCCTGAAAATGAGATTTTTTTAATCAAAATTACTTTTAAATTTATTATAATCTTTATGAAACAGTAAACATTTTATATGACTTTTTAAGTTTGAAAAATCTAACCTATCCTATACCATTCCTTATAATGAAGTCTTATACCTTCATCTTCCCAAATCTTTGTTATATTTTTTATAAACCCAATTTATTAACTTTTACATTATATTTTACATAATGAAAAATAAAATGTGATGATAAAATTGTTTGATTGTTATCTTTACATGTCAAAGTTCCATTACATATGTACCAAGAGTTAATAAAATCGTATCAGTGATAAAAATAATCAAGATAATTTAGAGAGAAAATACAACTAATAACTAAAAAATAAAGAAGAATGAGGGGAATTGGTATTAGCAGATATGAAAGAATAAATAAGTAAAGGTGTAAAAATCAGAATAACAGTTTAATGTAAGACTAAATAAAAAATAGGTCACAAGAGGAAATGCACATGCACCCCTGTGTTCATTGCAACATTATTTGCAATAGCTAAGATATAGAAGCAACACAAGTGCTCATCAATAGATGACTGAATAAAGAAGATGTGGTACATATATGTGTATATAATGGAAGATTACTTGGCCATTAAAAAGAATTACATTTTACCATTTGTAACAACATTGATTACCCTAGTGGGTATTATGCTAAGTGAAATGAGTCAGACAGGAAAGACAAATACCATATGATCTCACTTACATGTGGAATCTAAAGAACAAGATAAATAAACAAACAAAACAGAAACAGAGGCATAGATACAGAGAATAAACTGTTCATTGCCAGATGGGAGAGCTCAGTGAAAAACGTGAAGGGATTAAGAAGTATAAATGGAAACAACCAAAGTGTCCTTCCATAGATGATTGGATAAAGAAGTTGTCATAGATATACACAATGAGATACTACTCTGCCATAAGAAAAGTTGAAATAGTGCCATTTGCAAAAACATGGATGGATCTTGAGATTATAATGCTAAGCAAAATAAATCAGAAAAAAATTGAGAACCATATGATTTCACTGATATGTGGTATATATAAAACTGAAAACAACAAAAGAACAAGAAAAACAAATGAAGAAACTAAACTCATAGACACAGACAATAACTTAGTGGTTACCAGAGGGTAAGGGGGGAGAGGGATAGTAGATGATGGTAAAGGGGATCAAATATATGGTGATGGAAAGAGAATTGACTCTGGGTGGTGAACATACAATGCGATATATAGATGATGTATTACAAAATTGTAAACCTTAAATCTATCTAACTTGCTAATAATTGTTACCCTAATAAACTTTAATTTAAAAAAAGTACAAATTGGCAATTACAAAATAGTCACAGAGATGTAAAATAGAGGATAGATAATATAGTCAATAATATTGTAATACTTGTATAGTGCCAGGTGGATACTGGACTTATCAGGGGGGTCACTTTTTAAATTATATAAATGTCTAACCATTATGCTGTACACCTGGAACTAATATACAATACTATTGAATGTGAACTGCAATGGAAAAAATTTTAAAAAGGAAAGAAAATTCACAGAGCTACTAAGAAAATAGCACTGTACTCCTTAACACTTCTCACCAATTTTTATACCAACACTGATATAGAAGTCTTTCTCTGAGACTCCAAGACTCTTACAAGAGCCTGGTTCAAAATGGCAGACTTG